AAACACAATGCTATCTAAATCAACACAAAAATTCTTACTTTTTTGTTTCTTTTCCTTTGTATAAACAACCATAGACATTGTTTGTCCTGACATCTCTCCATTTGGTGGGAGACGTGATACTTTGATAGATCTAAATGCTGTTTTCAAGGAAGACTTGTTGTCTTTGGGTTCCTTCTTGCTCTTCTCCTCTCTCTCCGTCTTTCCTGGCACAGTCCAGTAGTCCAGCTGGAGTTCCTGGTACTCACTGCCAGACACTGAGGGGCTGATACTTTGGCTGGAGTTTAGAAAACAAACAGATCTAGCAAATATATCCAAGTTTGAGAGGGTCTGTTAGTTTAAACTGTATTTTGTCATAATTAAAAGAAATCTGCAAGTTTTTTATATTCAGCATAATTTTTCTGTTATTAAAGAAGAGGTAAATTCACTAGAAATCAATCTACGATTTTTCTTTTCTCCTTCTTAATGTAATCAGAACTGATTTTTAATTTGACCAAGACCTGTCACAATCATGGACATCTCCAAGTTTTTGCTATCTCATATTTTGGTCAAAAGAATGTCTTTCATTTTCCTTTTGAATTACATGACAACCACCTTGTTTTTATAACCATTTTACCTGGCTGGAGTTGCAGCAATGTTACTGACACTGGGAGAGTTGGGTGGGGTATGGCTGTCTTTCTGTTTATCAGAACTTGCAGGTGGAGAACTGGAGAGCTGGGTACCACTAGCAGGTGCCGTGGGCAGGCTGTCATCTATGTCCACTGCAAGGCAATTCAACAGCACAAATTCAAATCTTGATGCGTTAATGTTTTAACAAACAAATCTTAATATATATTAACAAATACAGACTGACTGTCATGGAACCTTTCCTACAGCAGATTTGCTTTTTGAAGCTTTGATATTTAGATACCAAGGAGTAGATTGGAAAAAAAGGGTGTTATTGTATTGGAGCTGAATTTAATGTCTTCAAAATCATTCTTGTAGTTTGAGAATAATGAATAACACAGCTTTCCTTTGATGACAACTGCAGGAGATATGTAAATACAATATTTAACACATTTGCACAAAGTTGAGATTATCAAATAGGATTCTCAGTGCGATATTTTTCCTACATAGAAAGACCATTGTAAGAGTGTTGTGGGTTTTCTTTTTTGAAACGAAATTGGACTCAAGGCAAAATTTACCTGACATTTGGGACAGCTCCCCTGGAGTAGGCCCTAGACGCATCTCCTGAAATATCAATCAAATATGTATAAAACACATAATGCTGTTCCATTTTAAATTTAATAGAATATCATTTCTTTACAAAATGCAAAAGTGCTTCAGTATTTGAGTTCACATGATCAGCAATACACATTCTAATTCATTTATCTTGGGATTTATAGAACTTACACTTATAAATGGAATGAATATTTGGGAAGACTCCTCTTCGTGGCTGGAAAATACAACCAGTTTAATTAATAAAACCCAGAAAAGTAACACAAATCACATACCATACAACTTATCTGAATGGATGGACATTCAAGTGAAAATTCACATATTAACCATAACAATGTTTGAGTTGGACTAATAAATGAAAATAATATCTAGTTGGACTAAAAATTTTTCACCAGTAAATTGCTTTGTGAAGGACTAAGAATAAACAGGAAGCCAAAGAAACTATCACATTTTTTTACCTCTTTCCTTTGCTACACGTCAACATGGCTTCACCCAATGGCAGCTGAAGAACCTGGGAAGCACCCTTTAGGTATCTTGATACTCTGTTCAAGATTTCATTGAAATCTAAAATAAAATCTTTGGATAATTAATCACGTTATTTTACATAATTTTTTAGCTTTTCTTTTTTTATTTTATGTAATTTATTCATTTATTTATTTTTTTGAAAATAACTAGTATTTCATTGAAATAGAACATCTCTGTACAGATGCATGTGCAAATCTTAGTAAACTAAACCAATACACTCACCTGTAGGAAAGCTGTCAGTCTTGTCAAAGCTGTCTTTCCAGAGACTGTCATNTTTTTTTGCTTTTCTTTTTTTATTTTATGTAATTTATTCATTTATTTATTTTTTTGAAAATAACTAGTATTTCATTGAAATAGAACATCTCTGTACAGATGCATGTGCAAATCTTAGTAAACTAAACCAATACACTCACCTGTAGGAAAGCTGTCTGTCTTGTCAAAGCTGTCTTTCCAGAGACTGTCATTAAATATTGCATTGTAAGTCCCATCAATGCTGGCCAAGTACTTGCCTATCACACTACCACCTTAAAGGAAATGGAATGGCTTCCAATTAATTAGATTTTTATTGCTTTGTGCATACTATTTAATTTAATTGTCCTTTGGCAGCTGAAGAGTTTGCAATGAAAGGGACCAATTAAGTTAATATGTTTTTAAATTTTTGTCTCTGTATTATACATCCTTCATAACAAGATTGCCTACTTTTCAAATGCCAGCTCCAATCCAACTTCTTCAATAAACTGTTTTCATATGTTCTTCATATCAAAGATTAAAAAGAAAGTTAAGTCAAAACTTGAACATTTTATTGATTTTTTAGCATGACTGCAAGGTGAATTCAAAAGCTTCTTACCCAGTGGTATGATAAGAAACCTGATGTAGCCTTGCCAATCTGGTGACTTTGCAGCAAACTGTTCCACCCAGGGTTTTAAAATGGCATTCACATAGGAATCATTCCCTACTATGGCTAGTTTGATGGGATTTGGGTTTCTGGAGTTGCTGTGGCAGCTGAAAAGGGATTGAAATGTTATGGTTATTGCTTTAAAATAACTTTGTGGAATATGTAAAAATTTATAAGCTGCTTGTGCTTCCAGAGCAAGGGAATTACTGCATAAGTTTACCATCCAAAAATGATAAAAATACATGACTCCCAATAACCCTTTTTTTTCAGTGTTTATATAAAAGACATAAATCTCTTTCATACACATGCAACAAGATGTCATATTCCAGTAAATATTATCAAAGTACATTGAAAATGGGAAAGCACTTACAATTTTTGGATTTTGTTCACTATAAACTGAATTGTGGCTTTGACATCAGCATTTGAGCAAGTGCAGATCACTTTTTGATGGCGTTCTTGGATCTTGTGTGAGAACAACTGAAACAAAAACTGATAACATTACTCAACTGCACTAGTAGATCCAGAGTTTTAGACTGCATTCCCACAGATTTTTAGATAGATTTATCCCCGTGGGGAGTCTCACTAGACTGCTGTTAGCTTAGCTGGCTTAAATATCTGTCCCGCCTACTAAAAGCTGTAAGGGATAATTAACTTTCGTGCACGCTCAGCTGACAGCAATTTAGCATGAACCCCCAGGGAGTTAGGCCGATCCAGATAGATCGATCTAAATCTGTGGGAACCCAGTCTTACACTGCTCCCCCACCACCCCAATTCTGATAAATTACTCTTCCAAGACATTTTGAAGCCCAGTTATATGAAACACAAATATGCGAGTCCATTGTGGTTCTTTTCCCTCCTTTTTGGAGAGTAGGGTACCGGATTGGCCATTTTAGCACAAAAGTCATAGGTGAGGGGAGGGGAGTTGCTTGATGTACCTATGAATTGATAGAGATATGATATTTTTTCAAGCACCTGTGAAGAGAAGAGAGCAAACAACAAAAGCATTACTTAAAAAGTTGCTCACCAATCACAAGATAGAGGAAAATATCTTATTTCAACTAAGTTTTGCTGGTGAGAAATCTCTGTTGACATTTAAACCCTGCAATGCATTCATATATCAAGAAGAATAAGAAAGTATTTTACTAAGAGCCAAAGCCTTAAAAGAGGCTGCATGTAAACTGCACTACCCTTACCCTTTACAGGAAAACACAAACATCACAGATTTAGGGATATGATTATATTCATCCAAACCCACCCAGAGTTTTAAAGGTCACGAGAAACTCCCTTCTATTAAGGATGCTTGTAGCAGAGGCGAGTTTCAAGTGCACGGCCCTAGCTTTCAAATGAAGTCACAAATACATTATGTTCTGTAGCTTAAGTACATCTCCTAGAACATGGCATTTCATAACAAATATATCAATTTCTGGGAGTTGTGTTTATTTACCTGGCCTTGGCCCTCACAGGCATTCACAAATATAACGTATTCTGGGAGATGTTCATCAGATTGGAGCACTGCTCCCAGCTGGTCCAACAAAATTTTCCTGGGCTGAAAGGCACAAAAAGCTATGCAATGATGTCAATTTAATACAATTAACTATAAATCCCTTACTGATTATGTTAAGCTTTCTGATATTTTTGTTGAAAATAAAAATTAATAAGAGTTCTTTTTTCATTGAACAGAACTAAACAGCATTCTTTTTTTTTTTTTTTAGAACATAAACACATCATATTATTATGTTTAGTTCTTCTAATTAAGTCCAAGGTTATATACACAATAGTGAAACAGTGCCTTTCATGGATGTCTATAGCTATCTTAATGTATATACAGCTACATACTATCAAATCACATCCCCAGGGGCACATCACAAATTACACATAACAGTAATACATACACAATACTAACACACCACATATCAGATCTACCCAAGAAACAAAACAGACATTATAAATATCAAATTGACCAACAGGGGGGAAATAATATTTTTAAAAATATTATGGGACACATCAGCATCACACTCCACGACCATGCTTCTTTCCTGGGTAAAAATTACTGTTAATAAGATAAAATATTGAAATGTCCACCAGTTAAAGTACTTACTAAATTGTCATTATTCCCCACACTACTTCTCCTCTCCGCTGGCCTGTTTTCTTTTTTCACTTTCTTTTCCTTTAAAGAAATACTGCGGTCACGAGACAGCTTTTTGCCTTTAGCGACAGGAGAGCCAGGCTTCTCGGCCTTGTGTAATTGTGATGGGGCAGGCGTTTGTTCGGACAATTCAGGGTCAAGGTCATCCTGGGGAGACAGTTCGCAACATCCAAAATGCAACTTAAAACTGGCTACTTTCAACACATGCAATGTAAAACTATAAACCTACTACTTGTTCAATCAGCAAACCAATCAATCAATCAATCAACCAAACTGCTTTTGACAAGATATTTGCTCAAAACTTCACATTTCATTAAAATAAAGAAACTTAAAAAAAGACATTTAGCATTCATTCAAAGTAGGCGCATACAATTCTCTATGATAACATGCAACAATATTAAGTTTCTACTAACACTTCTCAAGCTTAAAAAAATTTCATTTATATCACCAGTCACTGCCACTATGACAAAGCACAACAGGATGAAACTAACATCAATGAAATTTGAAAATAAGCATGCATATGGTAAAACATATATATTTCCATCTGGTATAGCAATTATCTAAAAATCACTATGAATGTTTCAAGTCTAAGTCATCCGGGGACAGCAAGATAGTTTTGACCTGAAATGGCATTCCATCTCCCATTGGTCAAAAGGATTACAGTGTTAGTATATGTGTTAGTGGGCATTTGCATAACTAGCAAATATTTGTAACTTGACAGATATAGATTGATGAATTAAAGTGTTTTAGGTGCACAAAAGTGTTTTTAATAACATGAGTGTATTTCTACAAGCCAGCCACTGCTCTATAGTTCTAATACACAATTACACTGAAGCTAGTATTGTCAAAAAGCCATACATATATACCATATAATCATATTAATCATGATTATCCCATCCTTGTTACATCTTTTTCAAATGTGCAGGGAAATAAAATAATATGCCTCTATGTTTTACTACTAAGCATGCAAGTCCAGACCCTGCCTTTAATTTTTTTTATCTCCCCAGGACAACAGAAAAGATCATTTTTCATCTGAATCATCCCGAAAATATCTGCATTCCAGAGAGCAGAATACAGATCCATTTTTAAAACTAATTCGATGTGTAATCTGTAGAGAAGCGGCAACAGTGTCTGAATCAAAGGCTGAAAACCACAACTACTACCCCCCCACCCCCCACCCCCCACCCCAACCCCCCATGACACTGATCAGTAAATATTATAATTTCATACTTTGATTGATAAGCAAAATCCCTTCCACCGCAAAGAGAAGCTGGCTCCCCTACTATCTATCATTTTCAATGAAAAATGAATCTTGTCAGGGCATGACTAACAGAACATACTAATTTAACTAAACCAAATAGTGGTCATGTTCTGCAAAAAAAAAAAAAAAAAAAAAAATCATATCTACAAAAGTATAAGACAAGAATCATATTTCATTGCTGTTACTTACTGCTGAGTGTTTATATTTAGACGAACTACTATTCTTTCTTATAGAGAAGGAATGTGTTTGCTGCTAGACAAATTAAAGAACAGAAAAGAACAGTGGAATAAGTTAGTGGTGCTCAGCAACCACACACAAACAGTTCTCTATCTTAATATACCAGGCATGAGAACCACTGAACAATCTCTTGAAAGATTTCCCTTTTATTTGGCTCAATTAAGAAGTGGGGAAATGAACAGTGCCACACCAATCAAAAGGGAAAAAAACGATGAAAGTTGACTTCTCAGGCCTGGCATATCAACAGTGTAAAAACATTGTAAAATTCCAAAACTGAAAGTGCATGAAAATGTAATTAATTCAAACCAGAATTAGGCAACTTACAATCTACCACAAGTAATTGTAATCAAATTTAGACAAAAAGGAACATGATGTCAATGAGAATATTATTCTGAAGTAACATTGTCTGACTACAAATTAGCATGTATCCAGAATTCTTTGATTTATATGGCAAATCCACTAATTCTGAAAATTCTGTAGTTTATAAAACTACAAATTAGCATGTGTCCAGAATTTACTGATTTATATGGTAAATCCACTAATTCTGAAAGTAGCATAAAAAATACAACTGCTGAGGACCTCTGCACCCATGCTAAGATGAACCACAAAAATTGTCAGCCACAACTTGCAGCAAGTCCTCTAATTAGATTTGAAGTTTAAATTTCTCTCCAGTAATTTGTAAATAAATTTAAAAAACATTTACATCTACACATAACTATGTGTAACAATAATCCATTGCATGTTGCCAAAGAAAATGAAAATCTGAGTTGATCCTTGAGAAGTGATGCTCTAAAAAGTAAGAAAAAGCCTCACACAAACT